ATCTTTGAAAAAAGCAAACACTGGGAGGCCGGCTTAAAGTAAAACATAATTAACTTAAGCTTAAAGACTCAGGATTCTTAGACACACTTTAATACCTGTCTTGGTGAATGAAAATTGTTGCCTCTGTAAATGTTTCACTGAATTATATTTCTCTTATTTATTCTTAGTAGTCTCTCTTGCAATTTTAATTGCTTGTACGTGCCGTTTGTTTTCATCGTTCACGAACATCGCTTGCAGGAGTACTAGAAAATGTCACGTGTATCAAACACTTTATAAGATTACACATGGTTATCACTGAAACCATTAAATGACAAAAATAATAATAATAAATTCGTTATTATGTTGAAGCGTAACTCTATTAAAGTTCATTCAAACACTCGACCACCCTGACAGCTCGCACTAGAAATGAGAACCGGCTGGCCGTATGGGTGATTTTGGAATTTTTTTGAACGGTTTCGCCAAAAGCCCACGATTGATCGTCCTGAATATTGACTAAGTGCAAATTGTCTTGAAAAATGGTGAAATGCCGCATTCTGTCCGAGGTCTGTATGATTAATAGTACTGTTTCATCTCAGATGTGATGTATAAAGAGTATAAAAGGTTGGTTTACACACCCCCAGATTTGTTGGCAAGAATTTGTAAAGTAAACCTATCAAACGCAAAAAAATTCGGCCTGATTTATTTTCCAAGAATTTGTTTTCGAGGCCTAATCTATATGACCAAGGGGCATTACGGCTCTTGAATGTGATTGAAGATGTTGCTATTTTTTGGGACTACATATAAGGCTGTCCACTCAATGTAAAAAGTAACTTAGCCTTTCCCTCAAAAGTCACATGAATGTGCCCTTAACTTAACTGATTTGTGGATCACAAGTTTATTGTTTGATTTAAATTTTTATTTTATTAATGGGAGCTTCGCTTTTAGCCCTGGCTAAATCTATATATTAAGAAGGTAACAATACCACTTGTCAGGCTGTTTTACATCATTCTACTGGGTTGGTTGTTGTGGAATTTTCTTTGTAGTCTTGTAGAAACACTTTAAGGCAAAAGTACTAAGTATAGCATGGTAATGGTACTTGGGCTGCTGAATAATTTTAGCTGCGGACCCCAGACAGGAGAGGGAAATATGTACTCGGGGGGGGGGGGTGGTGTAGTTTCCAAATAAACTGGTGTTATTGAAAAGACAGCTATAAAGTTAAGCCAGTCTTGTCATATCAATAAGGCATGATGTCCAAAGGAAGTTCAACTAGGTGTAACTAGTCTAACTTTCTATGTGGCATGGGGGAAAGGTTTGAACACAGCTTAAGGGGAGGGTTGGTTTCCAGGTGAAGCATAGGCAAACCCGCATTACAAACAAATAGAAGTGGTATGGTGTTCACAAAAGTTGCAAAATTAGGAGAGTAATTAATTATGTACAAATGTAGTCACAGGCAGTGTAAGGCGCCATGAGCAGCGTTAGCTTCAAGAAATAGAAAAACCACCTGTCAGGGAACCATGATTTTTTGAATGGCGCCCCCTTTAGCACCTCGACTGCTCCCAATTAAATCAGCCAATCAGAGAGAAACTCATCTCTTTTTAATGCATGTTATGTTCACAGTCATAGTAAGAAAACAAAACGATGTGTCCATCTGTGCCTACTCACCATCTTTACACATTGATCAAAGTGTTGACAGTTTGCCGTATGCCCCAGATTTCTCAAGTAAAACAACAACGAGTTGCTTTCTCCTCTCACCTCTTTGTTGTCCATTATTCCACTGTTTGTAACTTATCTACCACTATAGCTGATACAACTTTATGAATACATGTAATGTTGTTTGTTCCTCAGTTCACCAAGAAATGGTGTTTGGAGGACCTTTTCTGCTGTACAGTATAGGAATTGTGGCGGATCACGCAGAATGGATGTCAAATTTTCGCCGGACAATTCCAGTGCTGGGAAGTTTAAAGATGCCATTTTGGCAATTGGGTCATCAATTATGCTCTTTAAAGGGGAAACCACAATCACACACGTCTTTTCTGGTGAATATTAAGCTTTTGCCGAACCGTGTTGGCAAAAGGGCCATAACATTGCGTCCAGCAAGCAGCTCCTTCATAGCCGTTTCCTGCTCCCTCTTAAGAATAATTTTCTGCTTCTCTCTGCTCACATAAAGACGTTCTAGAGCTTTATCTATACTTAATGCAGCTGAGTCTGCCATTATTTTCTTCAACAGTTCGCCATCTGCTTCCTTGGGAATATGCAAAGGATCATCTAACATGATTGACATATGTATGGCCCTCAGCCAGTCTGTTTTCTTCCCACCTTGGTGTGCAGACTATTCAAAATACTGGGGTTTTCTGGAAGGCAGTATTTCAAACTCCTCATCCCCACACCCTTTTTTGAATCACAGTTCTGCCACCAAAACTTAAATCGTGCACCGAGAGAATACCAATACCACCAGCTACGCAGGCTTCATACAATGCTGCTTATTTTTTTGTGGTTTTTGACCCTTTGTCGCGAACTTTCAGGAATTAGATAAGAAAAAACCTCTGGAACCTGTAATCTTATACTTAGTTTAAAAAGTCGGCGGATTAAGAGCGCAAATTGGATGTTACAACCGAGTGACTTTGTAACAGTAAAGAGTAATTAAGATAAGCCTTCTATTGTTTTCGTTTATTACCACCTCGTCTTGATCGTCTGGGCAAGAAGAATGCAACATGCATTGTAGATTTCATGATTGACAGTTTTAATGACGGTCCTCCATTAAGTTACGCATGCTCTCTGTTAACTTTTTCTCTCACTTGCATTTTCACGATCGACGTTTATCAATGGGCGTGTTTCTGTAATGTGATTACATACACTGTATTAACATGTAAAAAAAAGTGCAACAAGTATTAAATGTGGTCAAGTGCAATTTAGGGTATCGACACAAATGGCGTATTCGCCATCTGGTGAAACTGGCATGTCAAACAATACCCAAAACATGTGAGCCTATTTGTACGAAAAGAACATTTTAGTTAATCCGAAAGAAAGTGTTTTGAGTTCAGTAACATAATAATTTGTAAAGTAAAAGTGGGCACTTTTTCACTGAAAAGCGAGGTCCCTTTGAGCATTCTCCTTTAAATGAATTGCGACTGATATGGTCGCCATTGCAACTAATGTTTTCTCCTTGGCGGAAAATATACTCATGCATGGTGCGGAAGTACACAAATTGAATATTCGAGTCAAAAGACGGCACAACAAGTGTGAAAATAGTGAATTAGACTGTAGGACAACTTTTGTTTAAATGATTCGCTTACCAAGTCAAATCATACTGGAATACAGACTTATAAAGTAGAGGAACGAACTTTGGGACACTCTCTAGTGGTATGTTTTCCAGATGAGATGGAGCACACTGTAAACATCATCCACCGAGTTATAGCTCTTATGGAGTTCCCAAAGAGCCAGTTCAAACCGATGAGGTAAACAGTGAAAGTCCACAAGAAAGGGTTACTCTTTTTGCAGAAGAGCAGCAAACCCAGCTTTCTTGCCGAGGTTTACAAAAGCACCATCGGTGCCGAAAGTAATGAGATTTGTTCCCAGTTTACACCAGCCTCTTGGAATGTAGTACAAATGGCATTCTTAAGTCCTAAAAAGATAATTATTGAAAATTATATAAAACCCAGGCTGAACTTCCGAACTAATTAGGAAATACATAGAAGGTGCGAGGGGATGGAAGTTGAAAGCATTATTGTACTCTTATCGATCAAATCACAGAATCATCAATTACCATCACAGAATAGAAACTAGCTTTTAATGGAATTCAACCACCTTTCTGGCCATACCATTTGTTTTGACCATTTCTTTTGCTCCTTTTAACAAGAGTTAATTTTAGGATAACATTTTCCTGGCTTTTTGGAGAAACCAGGAAATTTCGACAATTCTGAAATTTATTGCCTGTACAACCTAAGAGAAACTGTAGTGTAATGTTTAACTGAATGTTCTCAGTCTAAAACCTTAAACGTCAAACTTGGTATAGCAGACTACCTGAATTCACAACCACACCTCTTTGAGTTCGATTTATTTCACTTACCTTTCACACGTGCATGCTCGACTGCCTTGTGCCCAATGAAGCAATTAACTGGGTGACCATCATCACGCTGATTTAGTTACTTTGGTTTGTCTCAGTAACTGTTCGTTCTTAAACACCTCAAACACAATTTCAGGTGTTGCATGACTTATCTCCACCGGTTCTGGCATTACTGCATTGCCAGATGGCATTATGTTTGGTGACCTCTCCAATTTTTTGTGAAATCTAATAATCTGATCGTGAGGTTTCCAAATCTCACCGCTTTCTAGCATAACTCTGAATGAAACTGGACCAGTTTGTTCCGTAATGGTGGCTTTTAACCATTTTGGCGGTCCTCTAAAATTCTCAGCAATACTGACTCTCCAATCTCGAATTGTCGCTCTTTAGCATACAAGTTGTTTTGCATCTTTTGGTACGCTTGTTTGTTCGCTGTTTTTCGGCCCAAATCAGGACACAATAAATCTAGTCTGGTTCTAAGACGGCGACTGAAAAAGAATTCAGCTGGTGTCTGGCCTGTTGTGCTGTTTGGCGTAGTACGGTAACTGAAACGAAATCGGGGCTAAATTATGTGTAAGCAAGGCAGATGCATTTTCCTGCACTTTGAAAAATTGCTTTAACTTCTGAACGAATCTCTTGGCCTGCCAGTTTGATCTTGGGTGGTATGGTGCCACCAATATTTGTTTAATTCCATTTCGTTTTGTGAATTCTGCAAATTCACGCGATGAAAATTGTGCACCTTTGTCGCTAACCAAGCATTCCGGTATTCTGAATCTAGCAAATAGGTTGCAAAGCTGTTCAATTGTTGTTTCCCGTGTTACGTCTGGCGTTATGTCTACTTCAAGCCATTTTGAGTGGCAATCCACTACAACCTTAAGCATCTTGTTCATGAACGGACCTGCAAAGTCTATGTGTACTCTTTGCCAATCCCAGGGTTGCAAAGTTGCCTGTGGAGGCTTATTGCGCACTAACTGACATGACAAACAACTATGAACTGTACTTGCTATGTTTTTGTCAATTCCACGCCACCACATGGATCCGAGACAATGCCTTCAGGCACACGATGCCTGGATGACCTGTGTGTAAATCGTCAAGAACTTGCTCTTGCAATGGTGGAGGAATTATTATGCGCATTCCCCATAAAAGACATTTCTCTTCGACCGTCATTTCGTGACGTTTGTTAAAATACGGCTTGATTGACTCATCTACTTGCTCGGTTGGCCATCCTGTCAAAGTGTACTCCAACACTCTTGACAAAATTGGATCGACACATGTTGCTTTACGAACGTGCTTGACCGAAACTGGCAAAGATTCAAGCTGTACTCGGTTAATCTCATGAGTCATTTTTATTTCAGACGTGATCATTCAATGGTAATTGCAAAGTATGAGGTCTTCATCATCAATATGAAGAACCTAGTTGTCGTATGAGTTCAGTTTTTGTGGATTGTTTTTTGTTCTTGAGGTGTGTCTTCTCTGTAGGTTTTCTGTTGTGTGGTCTTCAGAAAGAGATTTCTGGCTAGCAGAATGTCTTTTGTTGTGAAGGTTTCATTGTATACTTCATCTTTCCATCCATATTCTTGTGAAGTGGATAAGAAGGGTGGGACTGAGCTCACAGTTTAGAGTGCCGTATCTCGTCATGACGATGATGTTTAGGATCTTGGGATTATCTCCAACATTTACCGTAATTTTCATTTGTAGGGTCTCATAGAGTTCTTTGTGGATTAACGTTGTAGGGTGTAAAGGCCAGTTGTGTTCTGATTCTCTAAGCCACAGAGGTCCTTGAAACCACAGTTTCTTCTTGTCTTCAAACAGTGTGCTGTTAAGTCCGCGAGTAAGTAAGTTACCTGAATTGACTGATGTGGGGTAATATCTCCATGTGTGTGCAGATGTGAGGTCTTTTATCTTCTAAAATCGAGTATGAACGAATTGTTGTAGTTGTTTGTTGGACGATAACCAAGATAGCACTACCTGAGAATCACTCCATTATATGATTTCACTGTTTAGTGTTTGTAGTGTTTTGTTTAGAAATGCAAATAATTTTGCTCCTAAGAGCGCTGCCAATAGTTCTAGATATCGTAATGTCTGCGTTTTCACGGGTGACTTGTTGGTTTTAGCAATTAGGAATGTGTTGCGTATTTTGTTCTCAGATGCAAATTCCTCTTAGGTATGCTACAGCTGTATAAGCTAGTTTGCTGCTGTCACAGAATATGTGAAGGTGTGTTTTGGAAATGTTTTCGAGGAAGTAGAGTCTGGTACTTCAGTCAAAGTCATGTCACCAATCTATTTGCATCCATTTCACATCAGAGGCACAGTGATTGTTACGTTTGTCTTTAAGATTAAAGACATAATTTGAATCATTGTCTTAAGTTTCATACCAAGTTTCGTTCCTTGTCCAGGTAAAGAAAAATGATATTACAACTGTTACGTTTTCCATGGTAACTAATGGCATTGAGATGTCTTGCGGTTACAACTCTGATCTGGTAATCATCTAGTATAGCTTGAAATTTGTCAAGGTCTCTTAAGTCTGCTGCCCCTGGGGTCAAGCCTGCATTATAACAACATACAACTCCAAGGCTTGATTCTTTTGAAGAGGTTGATCGCTTTTCTTAATTTTCTCATAATCCAACTGTAATTCAACATTATCTGGATTGGCCTTTATTTCTTGGTACACAATTCCTTCAGCCAATGTGCGACCTGCACAAACTCTATTGTTATTTGGTATCGTAACAATGTAACACTTATTTGGATGGTTTTCCGCCAAAGTTGCCTCCTAGCTTTAGTGCATGGTTGACGTGAAGCAGAAGGAGGGACTCTGACTTGTAAAACTTCAAGATGGAAGCTATCGTCCATGTCAAAGTTTTCATTGGATTCCAGTGAAGATAAATTATTGGGAATAATTTCCCCTGCAAAAAATAGGTGGAAATACAAATTAAGGCTATTAATACACAACATTATGGTACTCAGGAGTATAAAACATCGGTCACTAAAAGAGATTTGTGCAGTTGATTTGGGTTCTAGTCTTTGACAGCTGGCATTTATTAACTGTAGTGCAAGTGAATTTTATGTGAATGAGTAGACAATAAACATAACTTCGTGCTGTTACTCTCTGGTATCAGAAGAAGAAATGCAAAGATATACATCCCAGTCCCATGTGCTGAAAAAAGTGGAGCACGTTACTAGCCGACTCACCAGGTTTTGGATACCAAAACAAATGAAAATTGCCAGCAGCATTTGAGTTCCTGGCATGTTCGGCTGACTTCTCCAGGTAAAAACTTTTCTTAAACACTTTACGTTGTGACAGGTGGTGGTCACAACAGTCATTGTGCTCTCGTGGCGAGTATTTACTTCTGGATCATCAGCTGTACAAATGTGACAAAACTGCTACAGCATCAACAGCTGAGCCAAGAAAACCACATGTTTTGGCTGAGTGTGAAGGTTGTCATCTGTAACATGGACACTAAAAGTAAAAAAAGGGAGTTTTAAGCTAGGAACGTGGTGTAAAAGTGTAAGTTTCTACATCTACATGTTTACACCAGCACCAGTGAGGTCTAAAAGTTCAATAAAAACCAAATGTTTTTTCATTGGTGGAACCCAACATTTTTGTTAACAAAGGTGTAATTCATCATCATCAGATCTGTCTTTATCCAGCCAATTTTTGCTCCTCTTGTCTTCATAAATCTGGTTTTTCAAAAAACTTTTAGTGACACAAAGTAACCTTTTTGTCCCTTTTTGTATCCCTGCCTTTTCAGTCTGTCGTATTTGAATTTCGACCCAACATACTGGTTTTGTTAACTATTTTCTTTGGATTTTAACTTTTTACAGTTGGCACACAGCCTGAAAAAGAGAAGAATTTGATATTTCCGTTGCCAGTGCAGAACTGCGTTTTAAATAATTATAAAATTATTAATCTTGGGTAAAAATCGTATCATACATTTACACTGATAAATAGTAGACACACTGTTGAAGCAATGAGTAAAACTTATGACCAAAACTTGTGGATAAATGCCACCAATATTATCAGCACTTCTGTCTTGTACAACATGACATGCCCGTGCACTCTTCTGACTAGGACTTCCAGTAACAAGCACTTCGGACGCAACCATCTCCTCCTCCTCATCATCTTTCCTTTCACCCTTTGTATCCACCTGAACCTCCTCATGGCCATTTTGGTCCTGATTAGTGACACTAGAGACAGTGCTTTTCTTTGGGCTTGACTTACTTTCATAGGCTACAACAAAAACAAAAGAGTGGAATAGTCGTCAAAATTTTATTTTTTGTCCCTTGAATTGCTGGTAGAGAGAAGCTATGAACACTCAAGCTAGAGAAAAGAGAACACCACAAGCACTATCAATAATTTGTCTTATTAGATGAGGTATTAAAAAACATGCTTAATCATGCAGAAAAACGCATGGAAGACCTGTTTACGTATGGTTTATCTCATACAGTTAATAATAAGTAAAGTTGAGAAAGCCGAACCTACCTCGCGGCGTTTCATGCAAACGTCTGTATTTTTTCCTTCAGCCGTTACTGTTACCATGTGAACACTTGGTATAGAAGTGTCCTCAATGTCATCTTTTTTGAGTCAATGCTGATATTTTTTACCTAAGGACGAGTGGCTGAAGTCGTCTGGCGTGAAATAACCTGAACAGATCACTGAGTATTTGGTTGCTGTCCAGTTCTTCTATGTGGCATTGACAAAGGAAACCCACTTTCGCCTTCTTTTCACGGCTTCTGGTCTTGGATCGTTGAAAAATGGAATCGTTTAAATAGAACTACCTTTTCTCTCATCTTTTGTGTTATTACACCCATGTGCAACACACGTTTGTACCACTTTTTTGCATAATAACAATGTTGCCAAGAAAGAAATGAATAGGAAATCTGTCTGCTGCGACATAGAATGTCCTGAAATGAGGTCACAATCATTCCCAGTCTTCTGTTTTCTCTTGTATGGTTTTGTAGCCCATCGGCAGAGAACTTTCACGTTTTTGATAGGTTAAAACACCGGAAGTTGTTTGCTTTCCTTATCCAACAGTCTTCAAAAAGTCCTTGGAATCCCATTTTTTCTTGAAAAGTCCTTGAATTTCCATGCAAGTCCTTAAAAAGTCCTTGAGTTTTCTTCAACTTTGAATGTAGTAGCCTGGAAAGTGTTTTTTGTGCTTTTTGGTTGTCTAAGGCAGAATGTAAATCATAGCTCAGATAATTTAAAGCTTATCTACATGAATTCAGATCTACAGGAGTAACCTTCTTAACGGTCATGGATAGCGACTACTTGACCAAGTGGCAAATTATCAATCAAATTGTTGTGTTGGTTACGTTGTTACTTGGCCATGAAGGAGTGCATGGTATAGTCCTTAAGAAGACTCCGTAAGTAGCCAGTCATTTGAGAAGGTGGTGTTTCTTTTGTTATGAGATTAAGTTTTTTCTTTTCTTGGCCATTTACCAACACCTTTGCAGTTAACGCATATTCATAGTGTCTCCAAATAAGAAGGAAGACCTTCAGGAAGAAATCTCATTACGTGAACACCACATTTATCATATTATCTTTTGAAACAAGCTATTTTATGATATGGATCTTCTCCCATGGTGGCAAAGAGTAAGTTCAGCAGCCTCTAACTGTGCTGAAAATATCAACACCTTCCAATCTTCTTGATCCCTATCTTTTAGGGCTTTTTTACGGAATTTCATACAATCTCCAAAGACAATCTTGATCTCTGCATGCTTTCAATATACACAGGACTTTCTTTCCTTTTTTGCAGTTTTGATAAATAAATGCTTTAAATTTTCACTGCGTTATTTCTATTTCTGGAAGCAGCCCCTTAACTTCGTAGACAGCCTGTTTTTTTTCTAGAATATGTTTTGAATGTTCCTTGTACTTGCTTTTTCTGTCCTGCATCCTTTCCATTCCACAGTCTTTGTCTCCTTTAGGACAAACCAGCTTGGTTCCTTCCCTTTTAATGCACT